GGCTCAAACCCAGGTCTTCACACATGCTAGACAACTGCTCTGCTACTGAGCTATACTCCCAGTCCCAACTGTGGCTCACTTTAGCAACTATTACTAAAGGCATACATAGATGGGTACAGATACTTTATCTGGGGTGCGGTATCATTTGGTTTTGTAAATTATCGAGTTATTAAGGAAAGGTATCAATACTTCTACATAAAAAAACAAACAAACAAAAAAAAACTTCTACATATTTCCTGAGCTATTCTGAATCTGGGCCAAATCACAGCATAACAAATCTAGGGGACCTAAAAAGGAGGAGAAAAACAATTTCCATCTATTCAGTTACCCTGAACTAGGCAATACTATAGGCATTTGCATATATCATCTCGTTTAATCTTTACAAGGTAAGCCTTATGCACTAAGATGGGTAAATGAAGTCATAAAAAATTCATGTGTCTATAGTTACATGAGGTAGGAATTAAACTGTGATTGAATTTTTCTACCTACAGTAAGGTACTTGATACCACGATTAAAAGTAGTTTCTAAAAACAGCACTGTATATGTATGAACTATTTACCAGTCCTGTGGATTAAACCCAGGAAGTGCTGAGCTACATCACCAGCCCTTCTTATTTAGGGACAGGGTCTTGGTAAATTCCCCAGGCTCAGCCAGGCATGGTGATGCACACTTGTAATCCCAGCACTTGGGAGGCTGAGGCAGGAAGATCATTGCAAGTTTGAGACCAGTCTGGGCTACAAAGTGGGCTCAAGGCCAGCCTGAACTGCATAGCAAGACCCTGCCTCAAAAAGACAATCAATCAATCAATCAATCAATTACTTTATTTCTCAGCCTGGCCTCGACCTTGTAATCTTCCTGCCTCAGTCTCCTGAGTAGCTGGGATTACAGGTCACATGCCACCCTCCCTGGCTGACCTATTTGAGGATGGCAGAAATGTGAGCTTTTAAATTAAAACAACTGTGAATTTACTTTGGGATAATGGCAAAATTCTTGAAGCATTACTTTAATGGTAACGACAAATACCAAGTTTACAACTGGTCAGTTGTTTACTCATCAGTATCTTCCCGTCACTTTCCTACTCTCTTCACCATGAATATACGGCAGCTGCATGAACTCATTTACTTAATCATAATTTTCCTCTAGCCACTGTAACCATACTTCTACTGTCAGTATTTGTCCCTTAGTTCTTACCTTTTTGTTTGCTTTCTTTTTTTTTTAAACTCTTCCCCCCTACCCGCCCCGGTACTGGGAATCGAACTCACGACCTTGCGCTTGCCAGGCAGGTGCTGTGCCGCTGAGGTAAATCCCCAGCCCCTTGTTTGTTTGCTTTTTGAGACAGGGCTTCACTCTGTAGTCCAGGCTGGCCTTGAAATCACTATGGAGCCCAGGTTGGCCTGGAACTTGAGGCAATCTTCCTGCCTCAGCCTTCCAAGAACTTGGATTACAGGTGTATGCCACCACATCTGGGTTCTTAATTCTTACTTTCAATCTTTTAAACTATAACTACATTCAACAATCAGGTGTGGGGGCTGGGGATTTAGCTCAGTGGCAAAAGCGCCTGCCTGGCATGCGCAAGGTCGTGAGTTCGGTTCCCGGTACCGGAGAAAAACAAAACAAAACAAAACAAAACAAAACAAAAAACCAATCAGGTGTGTATTTGCCTAAAAACATTCTTCTCAACATCATAAGAACAGTGAGAATGAATTTTAATTATATGTCCTATTTAAAATACTTAATATTCTTTAATGAAAACTCCACTTGTACTCACCTTTGCTAATGGGACTACTCCTTTCAACCTAGTAGCTGCAGCTTCATACTCAGGGGCAAGCCTCTTGCAGTGTCCACACCTATATAAATATTTAAAAAGCCACATTATCTGTTTAATCATATACATTTGTTAGTTGCCTTTCCAGGAAGAATCTCAATAAAACTACTTGTGAACTAGTAGGTGCTTACAAAAGCAAAAACATCACCTAAACACATTACTACATAACCGCTAATGTAGACCACAGGTCTCAGAAGATAAAGGTCCTCTCTCAAGCCCAGGTCAACTATATAAGCACTGGCTCAGTGTAGAGCAACATCTATCTTCTTAATTAAAAGTATAATTAATAAAGTTCTGAAAGTTGTAGTCAGAAATATACCCCACACAAAACAGAGAAAGTGGTCAAGGCGTTTTGATCACTCAATTAGGCCTAAAATAGTGAACAAAACAGCAATAATCCTCTTTCTCATAGCACTTCAGAAAGAGAGGAACCTTTTCCCTTAGGAAACCAATTCTGTGGTTCTTAAAATACTGTTGACTGAGGGGCTGGGAGTGTTATTCAGTGGTAGAGCATATGCTGTGTGTCAATCCAGCATCACCACCACCACTACCACCAAAAAAAGATTAGAACCTTGTAAGGTTCCAAGGTATGATATTCACTCTTTAAGAATCAACATTAATGCAATCCCAGCACTCAGGAGGCTGAGGGAGGAGGATTGTTCCAAGTTTGAGGCCAGCCTGGTCTATGAAGTGAGCTCAAGGCCTGCCTGAACTACATAGAGAGATCCTATTTCAAAAAGACCAAAAAAAAAAGAATCAACATTACACTAGACATAGTGGCACAGGCCTACAGTCCCAGCACTTGGGAGGCTGAGGCAGGAGGATTGCCATGAGTTTGAGGTCAGACCTGGCTACACAGTGAATTCAAGGCCAGCTTTAACTGCATAGGAAGACCTCATCTCAAACAAAAAAAGGCATCAACATCAAATGCTTTTCTCTATTCTTTCAACATGATTTTCTATGACCAGAAACCCAGGTTGAGGGAGTTGAAAAAATCTTTTTTTTACGGGGGGCACTGGGAATCGAACTTGTGACCTTGTGCTTGCTAGTCAGGCACTTGAGCCGCTAAGCTACATCCCCAGCGCAGTGGAAAAAATCTTAAGAAAGTACTGATTTAATAATAATGGGTATACTAGCAGCTTCTAGAGCCTTTTCAACTGAGTTTCAACACAGCATTAGAGTGACATTTAAGATAGTAAGTCTGGCCATGAAAACTGATTAAAAACATGTAAAGTCTACTTTTCCCAGAGGGCCACCCACAGCACCTGCTCCTCTGCCCTCAAAGTCATAACAATCCCCCAGGTGCATGGTGTATGCAACAGAGGGTGTAATGAATGCTTCCTTAGGAGGGAACCAGCTGTGCATCTAAGAGAAGCCAGCAAGTTGCAGAGGGAGCCCTTTGAGAAAGCTGACTTCTGTGACCTCACTGACTGCAAAAACAGAAAGAGAAACAGAACAGAGGAAAGTTGAGCTGATACATCTCACAGCCAACAGTCTCAACTTACTTTATTAAAGTGATGAATGCATAAGTAACTTGGAAACATTTCCAAAGGAACATAAGAGCTTACAAGGTCTTCAGGAACCCCTCTCCCCCTTTTTTGGTTTTTGAGACAGGGTCTCTCTATGTAGTCCAGAGAACTTGTGGTGAGCCTCCTTGCCTCAGCCGCCCAAGTGCTGGGATTACAGGTGTGTGCTACCATGCCCTGCTCAGGAGTCTGCTTCAAAAGTTATTACAGAGTTTAAATGAAGAAACAGTGGTAGGAAAAAAAATAGTAACACTACATAGCACAGGGTCACATAAATATATATTAAAAAGATTTGATCTTGGCCTTTGAGGATTTCAGCTCCAAGGAGCAGAGGGCAGGGCACTTCAGATGGGGACACTAGCAGAGCAAAGGTAAGAGTACTCATGAAGAATGATGCTTCACAGAACAGCAAAGGATTTTTTCCTTTTGTGACTCAGCAATGCATAGGACTGACAGGAAAAGCAGAGACAAGAGCACAGCCACCTGGAAGATGATGTGTTTCAATGGCAGGTGAGGAAACTTGGACTAGAGAGGCAGACTTGAGACAGAGGGAAGATTTCTGCGGCAGTCTGTCAAGAGTAAAGCAACACACAGTCTCACTTTAGCTATCTTCAAACACAAGCAGAGGTGGGGGGGAATCACATCTAGGTGTGATGGTGCATGCTTGTGAGGCTGATGGAGGAACAGCTCAAATTCAAGCCCAGTCTGGGCAACTTAGCAAGACCCTGTTTCCAAAAACAAAACCTAAAACAAACAAACCTGTGTAAAATAGTTACTAGATCAAACCAGTGGGTATCAATCCTCATTACATATCACATATATTCATGGGGCCCTGAAACAAATGTATGTATGGCTGGTAATAAGAATCCGAGAGAAAAATAGATGTGTGTCTAGGACTGAAAGCAAATGCCACAAGAACTTCCTTATGCATGCTGCCCTAGGCACAAAGGGAGTTCCAGTAAGGCTGGAAGAGATGGCAGCACTCTTCAATCCACCAGGGATAGAAATCAGGTGGAGCTTAGGAAATCCGGGTTAGTCACACAGATTCATGGAGATTAGCCACTACCTCTTTCTTCCATCCTAGATATTATTAAAGCACAAAGCTGGGCCTGGTGGAGTATACCTGTAATCCCAACCATTCAGGAGCCTGCGGCAGGAGGATCACAAGACCAACCGGGGTAACTCAGCAAAACCCAGACTCATAATAATAGTAATAGAATTCACCTATCCTCAGGGATGGCACCTAGCGGTTGATGACGAATTCCAACCTGTATTTACCTAATAATCCTTGCTTTATGCCTGCCATGTTGCTACATACTATTATTTTATCCTGTAATTGAAAAACTGATAAGCGCCCTTTCCCTAAAAGAACACAAAGGTAGAAGGATAAACCAGTTAATTTTCCAGGGAAAGAAAAGATGAGGGAGTGGAGCACTGGGTGCTGGGGAAGAGGATCCAAGTAAAGTAATGAAAAAGTATGAATATATTCCTCCACAGCTTTTTTCTGTGTTCTACAAAAACACAGTATCAAATATCATTATAGCTACTGTTTTGGAGAGTAGCATAGTGGGCTGGAGACATGGCTGGGTCGTAAAATGCTGGCCTAGTATGTTGTCCAAGGCCCTAGATTCAATCCCCAGTGGTTGGGGTGGAGGTGGGGATTTAAAAGGTAGCAGAGAAATCTACAATCTAAGTAGATGCTGAGGACTTTCACATTGCAAAAGGGCGGAAGACTGGGGGGAGGCGCAGCAGGCCAGCAGCACCCAGGAAACGAGGGGGGGGGGGGAATAATCAAGATGTTGTATGTATATGTACCAATTCCCCAAGACAAATGTAGTTATTAAGTATCAAAAACATGTCTCAACTTAAAAATCTTTCACTGGTAAAGTGTGGAAAAAAAAAAAACCCACCTCAAAGGAGAAAAAAAAACTTGTTCAAAATAGGCCCCTTTTAGCTTGGTAGAGGTACGGAGAGGTATAATCCCAGCCCTCTGGGAGGCCGAGGCAAGTTCAACCCCAGCCTCAGTGACTTAATGAGACCACATCTCAAAATTTTAAAAATGTGCTAGAATATAGTTTAGTGTGAAGCCCCGGAGTTCAGTTCCCAATAATAACAACAAAAAGGCCCATTTTACTTTTAATAGAATTCTTCAAATGTTTCTAACATGTTAGGAGATGGCACTGCTGACCTGTGCAAAGGAAAACTAGAGTCAGAAAACACTTCCAGTTAAAATGTTAATAAATAATTGATGAATGTGAAGAATTAAGAACATTACAGCAGACCATTACAAGCAGGAGTGGACTCCCAACCTGCTTATCCAAAAAAACGTTATCTTTCTTGCCGGCGTTATGCGGCCGGAAGACTTTCTCTTCTAAACCAATTAGACGCGGACACCGCAGCAGAAATCCACCCAATTGTGATGCCTTAGTGCATGATGGGATATGTAGTTTTAAGAGAAGCATGTGCAACAATTTAAAGTAGATTAAAAAAAAATGCCTTTAACTGAAACTTCAAAAAACTTTGTTTTAAACTGATAGTCTAATGGCCCTAAATTCTCCAGCAATTCCTACTTTAAACTGCTTATGATCGCTACAGCACCACTGTGACCCCCTCAACGTTAACAGCACGATTTTTATAAATTGGGAAGAGCTGTTCTAAGAGGTGAGTCCGCTGAGCTTGAGGAGTGAAGACCTGAGTCAAAAAGCAAAAACTACACAGGCTCTTACTAATACTTTTGAATACAGTTTTTAACTAAGGGTCACTGTACCAGGAGGGGGATAATAAAGCACTGTAATTAACACGGGTCTACTCAATTATCCCTAGCATTAAAATAATTACTGGCTCTAATAATGATCTGGAAGTTAATACCACCATCACTCAGGTTGGCAGGGCTAGAAATTGTATTTTCTGCCTTCACTCCAAAACCGACTAGAGTTAGTTCCACCCTGAAGAATTCACACTGCAGTTTGGCTAAATCATGGGGGCGGGTGTTTTCCACTAACACTGGTTACTTTCTCATGGGTATCATTTTTTTTTTTTTTTTTTTTTTTTTAGGAATCCTAATTAAAAAGAGACAATTTGGACAGATTTTGATGGAATTATTCTTGCTCGCTTATTCTGATGGAGATCCTGCAGTTGCTGAGAGATAAACGGTCAGCTTCACGGAGAAGCTGCACCATGCGATAGAGAGAGCTGCCTGCCTCGGGAAAGGCACTGGTAGCCGCTCTGCAGCCTCGGCGTGACCTTGGCCAAGAAACCCAGGGCTGTGGGCAGGGACCCGGCGCCCGGGGGTGAAGATGCTCGCCGCAATCTGGAGAGCTCTTCGCCGACCCGCCTAG